GAGAATTGCTATGTTAGTCTATACGTCAGATAAATTTTATTGTAAATTGTGTTTCTGATTCAACTGATAATATTATTTTTCCCAAAAATTATTGTTATACACACTTTACATATGAAAGATTTAACTTTCTCAAGTTCCATAGAAAATTTTGGAGATAAAATACAGGTTTCTGGAAGACAGGGCCTGTACTCTCTACTTTCCTTAGCATAAAAAATTACATTCTGTAGTGTTTCACTGAGGGAAAGTTATATTCACTGAATCTGGAAGGGAGTCTGAAAATTTAAATCCTGTAACAACAGCACAAGAATCTGAAAGTGAAATGTTACTAATTATGAAATACTAACAGTATTGAAACAAAGAAAAAAATTTTTTTTTCAATAGAAATTAAAAAGTCTTTAGAAAGATGGTGAGGTCTTAAATTCATTAATTTTTCTAGATGGAAACATGCTGATGTTAAAATACCTGATTAGAATAAACTGGGCTCACTTTTAACTTAATTCCAGAATTTAAAATTATTTCTTTTATGTAAATCCTGCCTATGTATTTAAGTAAAATCGTAAGTGTAGTTAAATATTTAGTGAAGATCTGATGGGCATGACTTCCTCATGATCTTACAATGTTATAAATTTAATTTGTCTCTTATTTTTCAAGGTCCTATTGTATGATCTCCGGTCTAGTAATCCATTAATAGTCAAAGATCACCACTATGGCCTGCCTATTAAATCAATTCAGTTTCAGCATCAGTTGGATTTAATTATTTCTGCAGATTCTCGAATCATAAAAATGTGGAACAAAGATACAGTAAGTAGTTGTATGTTGCTGCATTCAGATTTTTTAATTTTTACTTGATTTGGGTTGGAAGTTGTTTGGGTTTTTGTTGTTTTTTATTTTTTTGGTTTGTTGTATTGGAGCGTTTTTTGTGCAGTGTGATTAATTAGGCTGAAATTCAGTGTAAGAAGTTGAGATTTTAATGTCTCTTAATTTACATAGCATTTTGTCCTGTCTGGCTAAATCAGCATCTGGGAAGTTATTCAATAGCCTGTCAGGTATAAAGATATAGCATTAGGGGGTTTTTAGCTGTTTGTACATGTGTGGCCAAGAGGCTTCTTTCAGGAGAAGGATTGAAACATAAAAAGTAGTATCTTAGCCATTGCCTTGGTTTGTGTATTTCTCAGTGTTCTTGAATACATGCAGTTATGTTTTTGACCAGAGAAAGCATGTTCATTCCAATTCCCTGCCCAAAGTAGGGTTAATTTCAAAGGTAGATCAGTTAGTTAAGGACCTGTTAAAATCAGGTACTGCTTATTTTCCCAGGATCCTGTTTGGATACTGAAGCAGATACTATGCCTGGAGCCAGTGTGTCTTACACTGTATTAGGGGATTATGTTGCAATGGGCAATGTCTTTATCCCTGCCCTTTGCACCCCTAGGTGAAAATGAAATCTCTCATTTTCATAGCACTTTTTTCATTGTATCATGCTGTCCTTCTTATCTTTCTGTCAATGAACTTTATTATGAATCTATGGGGCAACCTATTTTGTTACCCCATGGATTCATAGCAACACTATTGTAACTTGGTTTGGTTTGAGGGGATATCTGTAGTCTTTGTGTTCCTTCTAACAAACATGCTCCATCTTTGCTTTTCTAACTTTATAGTGAAACATAGAGTTATAGTAGAGGCTTTCTTTCTAATTATTTCAGGCAGTCACTTCAGTATTGTTGTGCTGCTTCATGAACTTTCAACAGCCTCTTTTTTCTGTGATCACAAGCAGTTTTTTATAAGCTCCTCTGCAGTTAATTTTTATTGTTTGAAAGAGCAAATAAATTATTGGCTGTTATTTAAAACATCTGCAGTGGCCTCTCTCCATTTTTCCTAGGTATGTATATTTCCCTCCTTGAGAATGAAACACTGTAAGGTTTGTCAGGTGGCCTCTGGTGGGAAAAGGGAGGGTTTCTCTCCGCTGGAAGGCAAAGATAGGTTTGGACTCTTTCCTAGAGTATGTTCCAGCTGGCTCCACCTCTCCCAGATGCTGGTTCTTGACTATCTCTGGCTGGGAACCAAGTGCAGAGGCAGACTGCGGGTGGAGAGCATATGGCTTTGATACCAGAGTAGCCCCATGCTGAGACGTGCCTTGGGGTGGGGAGCACCAGGCTTTTGTCTGCTGAGGCCGGGGTGGAGGAGGACTCTTCTTAATCATCAGGGAGAGACCAGAGGTGGGTGGGGTAACAGCATGTAACCGGGAGGGAAAGGAAGGGCCCAGAAAGGTAGGTGGGATTGCTGCAGGGAAAGGAAAAAAAGAGGAACAGGATCAAAATTTGCCTTGTTCCTGTCGCTCATTTGGAATTGTGTAGGCATGTAGTCTCATGCTTCAGATCATGTCGTCCAGTTGTTGAAGACTCTTCCTTTACTGGCTGTTCTGTGTGTTGGCTTATAAGAGCACCTGTATTTTGTCTGGGTTTTTTAGACTGTGTTCCAATTCTTATTATTTTGAGAACGTTTCCTGCTTTTACCTCTTTCTTAAGGAACCTTTATAACTTCAATTCTGATCTAAGCTAGATACCACTATGTGCTCTTATTTACTTTTATTTTATATCAAGACCTCTTTAATACTGAGTTTATAAATCATAGATGAAGTGCTGAGCTATATTTCATTTCATGTAGACATTAGTACAGTGGAAGAACCAAGCTCCATATTCAAATTCCAGTCCTAATCCATTTTTTTCAGCTAATCATACTTGGCAAAGTAAAATTATTTTAAACTATGACGTTCAGAGTTGAATAAAGTGAGGGTTACATTGATAATGTGCCAGGAACATATGGACCTCAGCCCCACTTTTTCATAAAATAAAGTGAATCTGACATGTATTTTCAGCACAGAAGTGTAAGCTCAGAAATCAGAGGTGCCACTGTACATTGCTGTATCTTCAGTTACCAGTAGGCTGTACTTCCTTGTAAGAGATTGAATCAGAGATAAAATACAATACTGAGTTCCTTATGTTCAGATAGTAATAATATTTTATTGCTCTGCTAAATCTGTTCCATCTTTTTTCCATCACCAGTAGTTATTATTAATGTTTAGATTTACTGAATTTAATTATATTGCTTGAAGTTCTTTATGATTTATTTTCTTCCTACAATTTCAGGGAAAGATATTTACTTCAATGGAGCCAGAACATGATATAAATGATGTCTGCCTTTATCCAAATTCAGGTATGTTAAGTATATTAATGTCTTGCTAAATTCAGAAGGAAAAGTTTGTTAACCCAAGGTGTGGTCTTTATTTCTGTTTAGGTGATACAATTTAGGTCTACTTTCCTCCTTATGGCAGAGCTTGGAATAAAGGGTTACTTGTCAGTTAGTGTCCCTGTTTCTTCTGCATCTGTATTACATTGGAGCCTTTTTGCAGTTAGAAGCTGCTGTGCTGTTAATTGAGTGATTGACCTCTTTTCCTCTTTCAACTATCTGAAGTGACTCATTTCATAAGAATAGGAATTTTGGCCTATTGTCTTGACTAAGTCCCAGATGAGTTAGAGCTTGCTTTCTAGAGGTAGGAAAAATCTCTTTACAGCAAGTTTACAGATTTTTTTCAAGTATTTCAAGGATTTGATCTTTCCTTGATTTAAATACAGCGCTTAAATTGTGCCATCCATTAGGTTTAATATTTTGGTTTGAAGTGTAGATTCCTAAGTGCACAAATTTGCATGGTTTGTGTAATTGTTATGTTTAGAGATCAAAACTGAGGATCACTTCCAACCAAGGTTTCAAGGGCGAAATTTTTGGGTAAGAATATTTCATGAAGCGGTGGTTTTATTCGGTTTATACTTCAGACTTGGTTATACTTCAGATTGCAACTGGACTTAATTTTCTTGCTTAATATGAGTTCCTTTAGTTCTTAAGTAGAGTGTGACACCTACTTCCTTTTTAGAAAGCAGTACTGTAAAAGATGAAATAAGTTAGAACCACTAGGATGGCACAGAGCAAAAGTCTTGAAATAGACAATGCTTATGTTGCAAACTGCTATTATCCTAATTTTAGAGAGAGGTAGCAGTAAAGACAGAGCAGCTTGGACTTTGATTCATACTAGCAGCTCAAATTTAAGATTGTAGATAAATAAGTTTGAGATTTCCAGCAAGTTAAAACTTTGTCTTTTCTGCCAACTTCAGTTAAGAATGTGTTTAAGTTTTTTTATTCTTTTTTACTTTTTTTTTTTTTTTGGTAAGACGAGCAATTAAATACTCTTCCCTCATAAGATAGTGGGCATTTTTGACCTTATGAGCAGAGTACATGTCATGTGCCCTGATTGAATGTAGGAGTTCATGTGGGTGTATTTGAGAATTACTTTGTGGTAACAGGAGGTGCAGGTGGACTCTGCACCCTGGAGTTAGACCCTCATCCATGGAGGCTACAGAGAGAGAGATCATTGAAGTGAACTATTTTCAGCATTTCACTCAGGTTTCATCTGTGAGCTTACTGGCTCCATCTAAAAGAGAACTCGGCAGCAAATTAACATCCACACAGCATTAATGAAGAGCTGACCCCAGGGAGTGGAACAGACAAGAGTTATTTGTCAATGTACACTCATAATGTAATTTAGGTTGGAAGGTACTCTTAGGAGTTGTGTATTTCCTCGTCAAAGCATGGCCAGCTTGAAGTTAGATCCAGCTTTGAGTCTGATGAGGTTGCTCAGGTCAAGTCAAGTTTGATTATGTCAAGGATAGGCATTACTCAGCTGTGGATGCTCTGTAGCCTCTGTGGTATGTGGACATGCCTCGTGTGCTTTTGCAGAAATGATTTTCGTGAGACTCTGCAGGATGAATCTTGTAGCACAAAGAATTGAATGCACACGTCTCCCTAATGTTGCTATTGGACATTGCTTTCCACATGTCTGTGATTGAGATCAAGGTTGTTCTGTGTTCTGCATCTCCTGCTTAAATCAGTCCTGCTTTTCTTATTGTCTGTAGGGGGACAGGTTGATGTTTTTTTTAAGAACTGTTGTGGGAAGAAAACTGGGTTGTATTTTATAGTCACATGGAGACAGGGGGGCAAAAACTAGAGCATGTTGCAGTGGAAATTGAGAGATCTAGGGTAAGAGGTGGTACATCACATGTTTATCATAAATACTGTTGGACCAGCATGTAAGATGCCTAGAACCGTCTCGTGCTTGTCCAGAATTTAAGGAATAATCATGACTGAAGATCTGAAAATACAGAAATGCTTCCAGTCAGATGGGCTTAGAGTTGTGGAAAGCTGGAAATATAACATGATTTCAGTGTCAGTATGGGTTTGGCTCAGTGCTCTTACTGGTGCCCCATTATTGTCAGAGCTTCGCTAGATGCATGGCACAGGAAACCCCAGAGATCTTTGCCTAGCTTGTGTTTTAACACTTTGTGTGTCACTGCTGCTCAGAAAGGCAAAACCTCACTTTCACCCTTATTGGAGAGAGAAGGATTTGATGGGTAGACTGTTCAGGGGATGAGGAATTGGTTGGATAGTCTCATCCAGAAGGTGTAGTAGTCAACAGTTCAATGTCCAAATGGAAATCAGTGATAGGTGGTATCCCTTAGGGCTCTGTATTGGGACAAGTTTTATTTAATATCTTCATTAATTACATAGACAGTGAGATTGACTGTACCCTCAGCAAACTGGCAGATGACACAAAGCTGAAGGATGTGATGCCATCCAGGGGTAATTGGACAAGCTTGAGAATTGAGCCCGTGGGAATCTCATTCAAACCAAAATGTTCTAAAAGTCTATCAGTTATGGTAAACTCAAGATCAGTATCCTATGAACTTATTTTTTTTGCTGATAGTTTTGTCATAGTTGGGCATTTTTAATTAAATTATTTTACCAACCAGCCTCAGTATTAGTACCTTTCCTGGGATGCAAACCCTCATGCATCTTTGACCAAACTACATAATGACAAACTTTAGTGGATCTCGTAATAGTCTAATATCTTCCTCTGATCACACATGAGCAGAATGGGGATAGGGGAAAAAAGGTTTACTGCTTATTGAGTAGCCTTTAGTCAATTGTTGTAGAATATAGATGAAACTTGACAATATCTTCAGTGTATAGATCTGTGTCTCATTTGTTTCAATTACTGTAAGAAAAGTTAAAGTGTAGAAATCTGCATTTTCTAAAACTGCTCCTTCCACATCCTATCACTTCATACTCCCATTTTCATTCTTTTACATTCATGATACTGTATTGCACACCATTTTCCAGAGAAGGTCTTATTAAAACTTTTCTGAAAAAAGGCTCTCCTTTATTTCCTTTCTACAGTAATCAAACTAGGCTGTTATGTAGTTTGTTAGGATGTGGTCTTTCTTCCCATAAAAATTGATGAAAACTAACAAGCTGAAGCAATAAAAATTTGTGGAATAGACTTCTCCTTTCAGAGTTAACTTTCTTTCATTCTTCTGTTTCCCTTCTTCTATACAATCATATGCTGTTCTGAAGTCTGGTTTTGTTCTCCTTTAATTATTGATACCTTTAATTATTGGTAATAAACAGACTCTCAAAGAGGAAATTTTACTTTACTGTCATCTTTGAAGCACCTACAGAATTATTTCCGTCTTTATTTCTAATGATTCCTGTCCAGTCAATGGAAAGATGCTTTGTTTTTTTGAAATAGTACTGAGCGTGCTGTTAGGGGAGGGAGCATGTAACTTCTATACTATACTGGAGTACTCTGTGTGTGTGTGTATTCAAGTATCTGCTATAAATTCTTGCTTTTTCCTTAAATTGCCTGCAAACCTTTCCAGGCACAGTTTTTAGCCTGTTTGCTGACTAAGCTTTCACAAATATCTTGCTTTGCTGGGAAAACAAGCCCCCTTTTTTCTGACACTGTAAGTCCGGCTGCATTGTATATTTATAATAAAAGGATTAGGTAGGAAGGATTACTCCACCCATGTTAATTGCATTCCTCTAGTTGGGTGTAAATTATATTTCTACCCTCTGGGTGTGTAGTAATTGACCCAATTATTCATAGTCTCAGTGGCATATGCTACAGTTCTTCCAGATCAGAATGTTATCTAATTTGATGGCACTTTTATTCTTCTTGATCAATTACATTGGAAAGACAAAATTGAGATAAACGTAAAGGTATATGGCAAATGTTCTTATTACTCTTTCATGTAGAAAGAAATTGAGAGTGTTCTTCATTTTGAATTTACATGAAATCTTGTGGCAGTAGGAGATTTTCCACAGATTTTAGTATTCCTACAGTATTTTTTCATATTCAGAGTACATAAACCCTTTATTCATGGTGTTTCTTGGGTACATTCATAGATACTTCAAATTCTACATTTGCCCTGCTTGGTTATAGCACTACCTTTACTCTTTTTGAAGCCACAGTATCCTGTATCTCATTTTGGATCGAGAAGCTGCAGTTGTGTTTATTTCCCAGTATAAAATATGAATGAAGGTGTAAACCATGTTATGATTTATGGCTCCGTTTAGGTGTGTGTTTAAAAATAAAACAAATAACCCCGTGTACAGATGCTAGTGTATTAATGAGGCAATTTTATGTCCAATGTAGTTTTTAACTGCAATACTAACTGGACTTGGGCTGAACAGCATTAAGGGATGAATTGTTTACATTTGTTATGAAAGTTGGCAGCCTGCACTTGTCAGAGCTTAATGTTGCTTAAAGTGGTGCTGAACAATTATGATAGAGGGCAAAAGGGAATGAATATATAGAAAATGAAGCTTTGTTAATTATGCTGATATTGCACCTTTCTTTCCATGGTATTTCATGCAACAATTTATGGTCTTGATTAATGTCCGTTGCAAACCACGAATATGTACTTCATGAGCTTTTTAAAAAAATAGTATTATCCTCTTCTGATCAATATTTTTAAATGTGAAAATCTCTTTTTAGGAATGCTGATGACTGCCAATGAAGCCCCTAAAATGAATATCTATTATATACCAGTAAGTAATACAAGTTGTTGCTGATATTGCTCTTAAAGGCACAATTGTCTGAAATTTATATCTGCATTGTCTTGAGTTGTCACAATAACGTAAATTTAGGTTAACCATAATTTATTAATGTAACATGTTGAATTACTTAAAAAAAAACTGCCATAATTTGCCATTTGCTACCAGTTTCAAAACTGGTTAGTGTCTGCAGAAAATTCGGGTGAAGCTTTTTTTGATAGTTGATGAAAAAGAATTCCTAAATAGGAATTCCCCTTAAATAGGGACTACGTTTTTCAAGATAACTTTGTTTTGTTTGGAAATATTTCGTTAGTGTTTAATATGTGGTGTACAGCGACAGAGCATATTCTGTATGCTATCAAATATTCTTCTCAGTTCTGACAAAGAAATGCGATTGTGTGACTTCGGGTATGGCTCTCGACTGTAACTTCTGCTCACTGGCCTTCTTCAAATGCAGCTTTTCACAGGATAAGCTTTCCACTTGAAAGGCTTAACTGTAGCTTTAACTGTATTCTTTATCTCTGTTGATTGGTTTTAGGGAGACTTAGCAGCAAGCCTTCTGGTGTCAGGGAATGGTACAGAAAATTACATCTGCATTTCACTCTTGGTTTAATTTCTACAGTGTGTTCTCTAGAGGTTTTCTTGTCCTGACAGAAGATAAATAGTAGGACACCTATGTAAATGTAGCATGCAGAATAGCTAACCAGACTTTAAAAATACGTACACTTCTTAATTAATTTTATTATCATTTTGGACAAAGTATAAAATTTATTAATATTGAAATATGTATTTAACTATTTTTAAATGAGCCAAAAAGTCTTCATGTAGCTAATTGGTTTTATATTAATTTAAATTTAATTTTTTCAGTTCTTTCTGGTCATTTCCCACTGCCATATCCACTCTGTATGATCTTGGTTGTGTTCAGGATGGATGTTTATGAGTTGATGTTTCTCTTTGTGGAATAGAATATATATACATGTGTGTCTAAACACAATAGTATACCCCTCTAAACAATTCTGTAATCTGATATATTTACTTTCATTATTAGATTTTTGCATGTAAAGAGATATGGCATTTTGTACATGAGTTATGACAGGTTGTTCTTTGGATGTGAATTGCCTGTTTCTGTGATTCAGCTCTAACCAATTCACATTTTTTTTAACTGCACTGTTCCGTGCTTTGGATAACAAAGGGGGACAACAAATATTTTTTTATTTATGACAAAATATTAGCTGTAGTTAGAAGCTGAACACTTTCTTTCCATTTACCTCATCCTTTGTAAGGTCGAGAGAGTAGGTCTCCAAGCATTTTTCTCTATCGACTTTTTAAATTAATGGATTAGGGAGTAGAAACTCACATATTTTCAAAGTCTGATGAGTTTTTAAAAGTGGAATGGACTAATTAGTCAATTTAAATAATCCAGATGGAAAAAGCATTCCTTCTGTCACTAAAGGTAAGGTTCAGCTTCTCTCTGAAAATTGTGCACTGAGATTATTTTTTATGCAGGTGTGCATGATACATGAACCTGACAGCTGTAAGTCAGCTATTAGAGGTTCACATCCAACTTAGCCAAAAATTTATTTCATTGTCTTGATTGTCACCAGTGATGAATGTTTGTTAGAACTTGTTCAAGCTAGTATTACTTTGAGTATTCTTGATGTATTGTAAATCAAAATGAAAAATACTTAATTTTTGGTCTCACTCACAGAAATCTTACTTTCACAGAATCCTCTGTGAATATTGAATTCGTATTTCTGAAGTCAGACAAGTAATTTTTAGTTAAGAAATATAAGCGCTCTGTATTAGATTTCAGATCATACCTAGAGACAGTATTGCAAACTTAAATACTAACTAATACTATCTAGTATTTTTACAGCATGCAGGCTATTCCAATGAAGTTTAACATAAATCTAGCCCTAAACCATCTTCCTGTGTCACCATCCCCTGATTTTTGTTATCTGAGTCTGCCTAAATTTGTTTGGATGATACCTTTTTATGGGTTTTACATTCACAGTGACATGAATATACAAATGGACCCAAATGATGAATGTTAAAGCATAAATCCAAATACAAGTTTTATTTTTAAGGTATTGGTGTATTTATAAGGTATTTTTAAGTATTATTTTTAAGGTAGAAGAAAATTTAAAATTTTTTCGGAGGCTACTGCCCGGACTAAATTTGTTTTTCAAATAACATCTAATAACTTCTAATAAAGTTTCTAATAACTAAACTTCTCCAGTTTGTGTCAATGGATTTGAGTTTGAAGATACTTTAAATACTGTTGTTACTTTTTTAGTTGACAGTCTGTAGTTCATTTCAAAACATGTAATGCTTATTTTAGACAATAGAAAAGTTAAATAGTAGTGAGACGAAGTTACTTGGAATAGAGACAGAAATCTCACAGACAGAAATCTCTGGTCTGACTTTTTTACATTATGCCTTCCTACAGGCAAGACTGAAGGGGCTGGCACTGCCAGTGTTGAATAATTGAAGGGTGTTTTACTGCATTTCCTAAAAATCAAGTATGTAGCTCACTAAATCCGTTTTTGTTGGCTATTTTATTTTTTATTCTACCTTTTAAATGAAGAAAATATGAAATGGAGGACTTGTGTCAGCCTTCAACTGCTCCAGGGCATTTTTTATTAAGGAAAACTTAATGTTATTAACGCATGCATGTTACAGTTTTATTCCTTGATCTTCCAGGCTAGTTATTTGAGCTCAGAGTTGCACACCTGTCCTTTGGTTTCTCTGTCAGTAGATGATTAATACGTGTTTTCTTTCCATCCTTGGAAGATTTAATAATTTCCTTGCACAGGCAAAGTTAAGTTACATGGGTCTTTGGAGAAAAACTATAAAGAAATTTGTTACTTAATCTCTTTTCATGGTGTAATTTTCTATCTTTTTTCTAAGAACTAGGATTCACAGTTTTTATAATGAGTAACTTAATTTTCTCTTTGTTTACTTTAAGGTAGACTTGAATACTACTAAAAATGTGTCCTTTGTCTTTGAGATGTTGACAGGAACTGAGTTATAAGTCTTGTTGAATTCCATAACAGAATAAATGCCTGAGAGAAATGCTATTAACTGTAAAGGACAGTTATGTAAATAAAGTCCATTCAATTGTCCATGCCTGTCATTGGCCTGTAGTGTTAATAATTATTCTCTTGTTTTAAATGCTCATTGGAACAGCCATAAGGAATTGCCATGGCTGTGATCAAGGCGGATACTTAAAATCCCAAATGCATGGTGCTGTGCTCTGAAAAACATTCTCAGTGGTGGGAGTCTTGCAGAGCAGCGTGTGCAGAGGTGGGTGCAGACAGACCCAGCGTCCACTGCCCGTGATTAGAGTTGGCCAGACAGTGCAGGACTGTGCCCAGCCCAGCATACCCAGGCTCTCAGCAGGTTTTATTAGTGTGGGCACAGTGCTGTGCTAACACAGCTCATGCCTGGTGAACTGGAGCTGGCTTGTGTCCGGTCAGCTTGGAATGTGCTCTGACTGAGCTCATGTCTGACTGAATTATCTGTGTACGTGTGCCCGATCTCTCCATTGTTGATGCCAAAGCTAAATTTCCATTTCAAACCCAAAAAATTACTGTCTCTTGAACTTCAGGATTATAAAAGATTATGATACACTGAGTATCATAGTATTGCCTGTAAAAGAAATGGCACACATCTGCTTTTCCTGCAGAAGTTTCGTCAGGATAGGTATGACAATTGAGACTAGAAATGTCTGAGAACTGTGCATTTTGTATAAAAAAGTAAAAAATCACTGCAGTTTTTTCCTTTGTGTGGAAGGCTGTAGGTAGAGAAAATACAATGCAATTTTTTGGTTTTCTAGAAAAGACAAGCAGGTTTGCTTTTAAATAGCAAGATACCTTACATAGGTGCACATTGCAGAATGGACAAAAAGCAAATTGAATCTCACCTTTGAAATTAAATGTTTGTGTTACATAGGTAACATCTTGAGTGGCTTAGCTTAGAGACTTTGTTTTTGTTTTATTTTGTTGGGCTGTAATGAGGGCAAGTGCCTCTGAATTCCTGACTGGAATTGGGCTGTTTGCCATTGGTTTAATAGCTAACTTGCAGTTTATGCAAACATTTGGAACCTGCTTCTTGCCAGCTGGCTTCCTGGTACATCACTTTGATGTGTGCCTCGGGAAGGTTGAAATGAAAGTTATGTGTGCCTTGGGATAGTTTTTAGACTACTGACTCAGAAACATAAGTTGATTCAATAGTGCAACCAGGTCCTGGCCAAAGAAGTGAAGAGAGGCAGAAGTTCCACTGACACATGGTGGTCCATTGGCCTGGGATCTAAGATGAGTCAGATTCTCTTTAAGTTTAATTGAGGCTGTCATGTTCCATGCCATTCAACGTTCTCTTTGCAGGTTGTGCAGAAAACCTGCCACATGCCAGCTCCTGGGTGCTCTGGGTGGAGAGCAAGGGCCATAGGTGTTACTCTGGTTTACATGGTGTTTACTTCTGGTTACACAAACATGTCTGATCTTAGCACAGATGTTGCAAATCAGTCCTGTCTCATTTATTGGACTTGTAACTTTGGGCTACACGAACATACTGAAACTGAAACTTGCTGTATTCATTAGGCTGTTAAGAGAAGAGAGCAATTAAGCATGTAATTAATTGAGTGTAATATTCTGTGTTCTGAATTTTTTTACTTTCCTGCAGTCTTGGCAGAACACTCCCTGTTGAGGCTAGAAGCAATGTACTTTTGGTGTAGTGAAGATATTAAGCTCTTTAAGAAAAAATAAATCCTGGAGCATCTCTGGCTTCTTTTCAGGTGGTTTTGGAAAATAATTTGATATCCTAGCACTCTCCTAGTTCAGGACTGTTGGAGTTATAAACTGGAAATGTTTCAAGAGCAAGTATTTCTTGCCTATTCAATGAGTCAGTTTCTCCAAGAGTGTAAGGGTTCTAGTTTCTAATACAATACCTACTTTGGATATGTGGCTGTCCTTATTGCTAGCAATATCATGAAT